CCAGTCACTACTCAGAATTATAACTAGTATAAATTATTCAGTACCTGCTCTGTAAAATCTCTTTATGTATCACTATATATCACTTCTTGTTGTTCTGAAAATGCTTTCAACTGTAAATAAACTGTTTACCTTTCAGTTCATTTAAGTCTACACATGTAAAAGTTATTTTTGAATTGCAACTAGAACGATTCCATATTGTAGCAGTAGCAGTACATACAGTACCAGTCAAAGGTTTGGACGCACCTTCTCATTCAATGTGTCTTCTTTATTTTTATTATTTTCTACATTGTAGATTAATATTGAAGACATCAAAACTATGAAAAAACACATATGGAATTATGTAGAACCAAAAAAGTATTAAACAAACCAGAATATGTTTTATGCATTAGACTCCTCAAAGTGCTTTGATGACAGCTTTGCACACTCTTGGCATTCTCTCAATCAGCTTCATGAGGTAGTCACCTGGAATTGTTTTCAGTTAACAGGTGCGCCTTGCTGAGAGTTCATTTGTGGAATTGCTTGCCTTCTTAATGTGTTTGAGACCATCAGTTGTGTTGTGCGGAAGTAGTGTTGGTGCACAATTCTATACAGTGAATAGCTGTATTTGACTACTTTTCTAATCCATATTATGGCAAGAACCCCTCAACTAAGTAAAGAGAAACGACAGTCCATCATTACTTTAAGACATGAAGAATGAAAAAATATTGAATGAGACGGTGTGTCCAAATGTTTGACTGGTACTGTACATACAGTATACACACACCCAAGCCTGTGTACATGGCCCTTTGATGTCTATGACTCGGAGGTCACAGACATTACCTGAGCTATTGCTGATGCTCCAAGTGTTCTAAAGAAACAGTTACTATCTTTAATTGAAGGCCATTTTGATGAAACACGGATTATATCTATCGCTTTAACAAACTCTCTAACAACGAACAAAAGCTAGCATGCATAACTGAGCTGGAAAAAAAAAACATCCATTTGTTCATTTGTTTGGTCAACCAGCCATGCCAGCATTCCCTGGATGTACATTCAGAATTAATGAATGAATAATAACCCACTTAGATCTTACCTATGCCTGATAAGCGATTTTAAGCCCTGTTGTGTTATATGTCTTGTATTTTTTCATTTAAACTTAGCTGGACATTTAATATAACACTAAATTGTATTATCATACAAATATTTTTTTAACATTTCACACTATATTCTCTGGGACCTTAAGATAGAAAACTGATTAATAAGCCTAAGAGGTAGGTAAAATGATGTTAATGGAGCATTTCCACACTTTGTGTTTGCTTGCCTTTTGGAAAAGCATTCCTTTTTCTCCAAATAGAGATGATATCTCTCAAAGTTATTCATCTAACAGCCTATTTCAAAAATGAGTGCTCCAAGCAGCTGCCAAATTGATTTGTTCGAGAGATTCAACTGATTCAATATTTCCCCCCAAAACATTAGATGGAGAAAGGTTACTTTTAAGGTTTGTGTGTCATTTTCACTGCAGGAAATAGCCCAGCACTGTAATGTGGTGTCCAAAGCTGAAAAAGAACAGAGCACTATATTTCATCTGAGCATCGTTCTTTGAAATATTATATAGCTTACAGCAAAGTACATATGACTCATTATTCGTGCTGGTTGTTTATCAGTGATACATTTACAGTATGTGGGCCTGTCTGAGAAGGGTGTCAGAGATGTAAGGAGGCAGTGTTACCAATGTTACCAATCTGTGTGGATGACAAAAGTACAACACAAATAATGTAGTGGAGGAGACTTAAGTGCCCATACGATTTCACTGAGCGTCCCCAATGGAGGTGTGTTTATTTCAAGGCCTCTGAGCATAGTGTGTGTCATTGAGTGTGGGTCGATAAGCACAGCATTTGAGTGGGTTCTTCTACAAGAACATTTCTCTGGGAGGATTTCTGAAGAAAATGTGACTGAGTATACTGCGGGGAAACTAATCTTGGAGTTGTCTCACAACAACGTCGGACTGTGCTGATGTATGTGCATCTGAGCTGATATCCAGTCAAGACCCGCTGAAAAGAGTGATGTACTGAAATGAATTACATCATCATTTCCATATGAATACAACATATTACATCAACACAATTATTGCTAGACATACAAAGTGAAAGATGTGTTACCTTAATGTATTTTATTCATGTGAGACACACTTAAATCAAGTAAAGACACTGCATTACTTTTTGGTGCACTCTGGAGACCTGTGTCTGCCATCTAAAATCACTTAGTAAGTCATAATATTGAAGTTTCCCAAATTAATGACTTAGTATCTCATTTTATATAACTTATAACTTATTATTAGGTCATATGTTTGACCCCCTATTTCAAAATGCAATATTATATCATAATATTGAGATAACTACTCAAAATTTTAATCCAGTATCTCATAATTATGGCTTGCCATCTCATAACTATGACTTTGTATTTTATAATTACAAGATATTATGTCACAATTATGACATAGTATATCATAATCAATACTTAATATCTCATAAGTGTGACTTCGTAATGATAATAATGAGATACTTTGTAATAATGATGTGAGAAGTTATCATAATTATTATCAATATCTCATAATTATGACTTAGTATATCAAACCTATGACTTAGTGTCTCATAATGATGAGATATTCAGTCATTATGAGAAACTTTCTCATTATTATGACAAACTATTTAGCTGTTTTTTTCAGGGGGTTACATGCCACTTGTTTACATCATCTGAAAATGCCAGCTGCTCTTTAAATAGTGTGACTTTAATGCAATCATCTTTAAAGTTAAGACATTATTTATGCTGTAAGAATATATATTAAAGTTAGCATTTCAGGGTTCTGTTATGACAGTGATGAAATATGGCATTACTTCTGGGGTGACTGAGACTCTACTGGGGTTTTAATCATTGCATAACTCTCTGGAAACAAACTGTACATGTGACTGAAGTCTAATGTGTAATCAGCTCAAAATATCTTAGCACATATATAGACCTGTATATAGTGTAGATTTTTATGCTTGTGGGTAACCGCAAAAGTCTGTTCAGTGTCATTTGGTGGGTGACTTGACCTCACCTTGAGAAATTATGCATCATGGCACATTTATATTAATATACAGTACTGTGCAAAAGTCAGAGACAACCCTTTATTTATAGTTATTTATTTTTCAGGAGATATTTCTGAGGGAATTAGATATAAGATAATCAAACTACTTTCATAACAAAGGCAAATGTCAAAAGAAAATAGGTGGAAAAAAAAGAGTTTCCAAAACTTGGGTGAAAAATCCACAGGTGTTTCTTTCCATCCTTCCACTGTAAGAAGACAACTCATCACTATGGGTCTGAAAGGATGAGTAGCTTTCAAGAAGCCATTACTAAGAAAATAGACAAAATTCTCAGAAGCTGCTGGTGTTCTCAGAACAATGAACTGGCCACCCCGGAGTCCAGACCTCAACATCAAGAATGTGTTTGGGATTTCTTGGAATGTGAGAAGCAGTAAATGCAACAAACTTCTAAGCAGAAAAACATCCCTGCAGACTTCTATGAAAAAGATGGACAGCATACCTTCCAAAAGGAATAAAAAGGCAAAGAGTAGATACCCTAAATACTGAAAGATGTGAAAATATGTTCAATAGTTGAGATTTCTGTGCAGTCTTCTGTTATGTTTTCTGCGTTCCTGACACTGAGAAATCTGTATCTCTTGGCAGGATTTGATGGCTAGTTTGAAAATTAAATAAATGAAGGGTGGTCTGGGACTATTGACCAGCACTATAGTTAACTCAAATGTGATGAAAATGAAAAAAAAGTTGCTAGTATAAAAATTGGCTTTAATGGCAGTTAAAACTGTGAGAGCACAGAAGCAAAACTGAAGGATGAAGCATTGTAGCTACATGTCAACACAAGATCCCCTCGCCATAAACTCCTCAGAGGATGGCGTTTTGAGGGTAAGTAAGCATTGGCAGAACACCAGGCTTTCCATTAAAAACATTGCCTCAAATGCATTGTATAGCAAATACCAGCATTCAGTTCACTATGCATTCAGTTGATATATATATATATATATATATATATATATATATATATATACACACACACACATATATATATATATATATATATACGTGTGTGTGTGTGTGTGTGTGTGTGTGTGTGTGTGTGTGCCCTCACAGATTTGTCTTAGGTGTACAAGTTTGTCTTTTCTAAGGTAACTGGATTCAAATTTATTACAATTTCTGGGCACTCCTGTGTTTCTAATAACAAACTCAGCGTTTGGTCACATAACCAACCATCATTGATCTCTGCGTTCTCCTTCGAAGCAGCCAGGCCTCTCTGACCAGATCTCAAGCTAATGACAGGCTAATCACGTCTCTTCTTCTGGAACTGGAATAAGAGTTGGACTGATTCCACCATGATGCGTGATACATCGCTACGGACGTGGGATATGACTCAACAGCTTCGCACAGCGTCTCAGCATAAACGCACAGCCTCGCTGAATCAACGCAGCAGAGGCTGCTGTGTGCGTAAAACGCATAAATGCGCTGGGAATGGCGTGTGCCCTTCAGAGGCGCTCTCCCTCCATCCTCCAGCCTCTCCCTCCATCCCTCAGCCTTCTCGCGCCCTCGTTTGCCTCCTCTGGAGCAGGTGAAAGGTAAAAGCCCCGCGCGCGGCTTGAACCTCTAGGAGCCCCTTCGTTCCCTCCGCTATTGCGCATGATACTGCGGCTCGCCCCGCCGCCCCGCGCGCTCCAACTCACCTTGAAGCGCACGGAGCGAGTCTTTTTGACTCACGGAGTGACGAGGCGCGCGCCAATCGGCGGCCGCGGCCCTCCCACGCGCGGCCAATGAGCGCCGAGCGGGGGCGGAGCCAGAGCGTAAAGCCCTCAGCGCGCTTGGTTTCGCGCCGTGACAGTGCCGTGGAGCCCCAGTCCGCCTGGCGCTGGCGCAGGTGCTCTGTCTCTTCCAGAGCGAGAGGGAGAGCGAGAGAGAGAGAGAGAGAGAGAGCGAGCGAGCGAGCGAGAGAGACAGAGAGGATGCGAAAGGATAGAAGGGGAGGGAAAGAAGGAAGGGAAGCGCCGGAGAAAGGGGAGAAAAAAGTGTGTAGGGCATGAATAAAGGGATTTCAGCAGCTCATAGTGCGTCTAACGTCCTGGGGGCTCGGCTATGAGTGATTCACTGAAAGGGGCACTTTGAGATATGATGAGGTTTCTCACTGGTGGGCAATAGTACTATGATTTGGTATGTGGCCACTTTGATAGCAGCAAGTGTATTCAGCACCCGAGGAACGGCTGCTCAAGGTGAGTTGAAGTGCAGTGTTTGAAACGATGCTCAACTTGCGTTCCCCCCCCCCTCTTTGATGTAACCTTGATAACTATTCGCATTTCACTGTTGCGACATTTCCTAAGGCTTAAATACTCCAATATGAAGCAGGTAATGTTACGCTTGATAAGTTTCTGCGTGATGTCTGGTTAACCTGGCTTTGATTTCAGATGACATTTTTATTGACTGGTCTGATTAGCCTAATGTAGGACAGGTGACATTCGTGATAGGAAAGTGTGCGTTGCTGAACTCAGATAAGAATATGTCAGGCTCTGGGAGCCTAAGTAGTTCTGCTGTGTTCTGCACTGTAAACTGTTTCTGCAGTATGCACCTGTCCAGTGTGCACTTGATGTTACTTGAGGCTTGTGTGAGCATAGCTTTAATTATCATTTTTCTAAAGATACAACAAGTATTGTTCATGCAAAGGGATTGATACAATGTACTAAGGCAGGTGCATTGGTATATTCAAGGTAACCAACTGCTTTTCTTTACCTGCTTTTTTATTGCTGGATGCTAAAGTGAACCCCTTTAAGGCTTGTGCTGTCCTTTGATTCCTTCTACCTGAGCTTGATCTTGAAAAGATGGTTAATTCTTAAATGAAGATGCTGTCGTTTAACATGACATTGGCACTGGGAGTCTTTTTGAAAAGCTGGAAGCTGTTTTCATCCTGTTTTGTTGCTGGAGACACATGAAAACTGATGCATTTATATATTTTTTGTGTGTATGTTGTATGCGTGGACTCATATAGCCCCGCAGTTTCGAATGCGTCCACTAGGTGGCCAAATATTGCAGACGAGGACTAACCATCAAATGCTCAGATTAATCTTCTTCATTTCAGTTTATAATATGCTATTAGACCAGTAGGAAATCTGATTATATAAATAAATATGCATACTTTTGTAGGTCTTCTTGCATCACCTGTAAGGAACATCTGACCACGCTTGCTGCATAGTGCCTTTCCTAGTTATAAAGCGAAGGAGTTAATTGCTCTGGCTAAGATGGTGTGAAGTGTCACCTCATCTCTCTGAGTCTTTCACCTCACAATGCTAGGCCATGTGGTTTATTACATATGCTCCACATCTCCCTCCTGTGTGACCCAGAGCCACTCAGTCAAGCTCCCTCCTTCTGCCCTAACACTGCTGTCTCAAGCTGTCATCTGGCAAACACATCTACTTTCACCAGCTATAAGCCTGGCCAAGCGCCAGAGCTGGCCTCTCCGCTTTGCTGCTTTTCTGCTCCGTCGACACAAAACCGAGAGCAGGGTTCTCACTTCAGAGTGCCAGGAGCTGATGGAGCTGGTCAAGGTAAGGTCTGTTATAACAGGCTGAATGGCAGCAGACTGCGCCGCACTTGTTGATGCTTCTTGCGGCTTCCCTGAGGGAGCAGTGCGTCTTTAACCATCTCATGAGCATATGCCCAAAAACGTCTGTCTCCCTTAAACTGATTATGACTAATCTGCATGCCCAAATGAATGCTGCTCTGGTGGAGCTGCAGCACCCAGGCTCCAGTCTGAGCAGGTAATGGGGAGAACTGATACCATGGCAGTGAATGTAGGTGGTATAGTCAGTGGAGAGGTCGATGGGTTCATCCTGCTTAGACGTCCCCTCGTTGCTATCAGCCTGAGCTGATGAAGGTGCTGGATTTAACTTTAGGCCTGGAAACTTGTTCAGTAGCTTGTGTATGTTGAGAAGACTCTTAAAGGTTAAAGTTCTTTGCAGTGGTTCTAAGAACCTTTAATTACTCTAGAGCCTTTACATGATGTAAAGGTTCTTCACACACACAGGCCCTGTGGACCTTCTTTGAAGAATCATCCACTGATCCATTGCATTTTTGCCCTCTTATTTTCTGAGTGTAGGAGAGCAGTAAGAAGGCCTGCAGCAACTTTCATTAAGTGGTTGTTGGATAATGTTGGACATATATTTCATGTAGCTTCACTGCCCTGCATTCTGCTGGCTCTCTGAAGCCTTTCTTCTCCTCTGGCTGATTGATTATTGTGTGGGTTTTTCCCCCTTAATGGACGAATATAAATTGTGCATCAGTGTAGAGAATGAAAACTTCCCATCAAATATCACCAAGTTTCCGATACAATTCATTACACGTATCATTTTTACTACCCTGTAGCTATTTCTGTTTAAGATAGAAAGAGTTGGAGGAGAAAATGGCTTGAAATTGGTGTATCCTACCTTGTTGGCTTGCTTAAGCAATACTTTTAATGTCTCGTAATTATGATTTATAATGTTAGCTTTAATTCAGCCAAATCACTCTTGGTGAGAGTTCTGGTCCAGCAGTGGAATGCAGCTGACTGGGTGCATGGAAAGCTGTAGAATACTAACCACACTGGGAACAACAGCTGAGGCAGCCAATTTCCAGATGTATTGGCTCCAATGATTCGGCAATGGAGGAAAGGTTATAAGGAATAAATCTGCAGCGAGTCATTTAAGCAGAGATTAGTCATGTATCTTGAAGTCAGCATGGGTGGTCTAGATTTGGGTTTCACTGCACAGTTTGTATGTGCTTTAATGCACCTGATTCAGCTGGATGATGAACTGCTGAGTTGAATCAGGTGTGGGGAAAATGTTACATTCTATAGCACTGCAGCCCTGAAGTTTGAAACTTTTGGTCTGGCCCTTGTGATATGTTTGAGTAAGAAGATCTCGTTTCTATGAATGAACTTTTTTTCTGACAGTTTGTGACCTCTTATTACTCTGTTCCACTGCTAGCATAAACTGATTTTAGAAGTTCCTGTTTAATTTGAATGGTGAAAAGTTGCTTAGAGCACCTCAGCTCCCAGCTCTCTGGAAGGTGGAGTGAGTATCTTATCTGTCTCTGTGCCTGGATTCCATTTCCCCACTCTCAGCACTTCAAAGGCCATTTCCTGTCTCTGATACACTTTCTCCTGAGCAGTCTGCCTCTAGTCTGCTGCCACAGCCTGGGAGAGAGGCATGTGTTCCAAAGAGGTCTCCTGCAGGGACTTTGTGCAGCATTAACTTATTTCAAATGTAGATATTAAATCCCCCAAACTCTACAGCTCTTTATCTCTGTACAAGTTATGGAGGTCAGAGTGAAAAAGTTGTAAGGGTATGGGTAAGTAGCTGGTTGGTTTCTGAGCCCGTTCGATTTGACTTTTAGCTTCTTTGGCATTTTATTAGATGCAAAACACCTTCTTGACTTGGCTGGTAATGCACTCACTCACTCAGTCACTCACATTTAGCAGGCTGAAGATTTTCCATAAGGGGGTGCCATTAGCTCTCAAGTGGCTTCTAGTGCTTTGTATCAGTGTTTAACAATATGGAAGAAAACTTATATTTCCACTTATATTTGCTCATATGAAAAATATATGTGCATTATATGTGTTGTTTTGAAAATATGCTAAACATATTTAACAATGTCACTTTTAAATATTTAAATATATGTCAGTATATGCACATATATATGTCAATATAGTTGCATTTGTTGATGAAATATATGTAATAGTGTATTTTTAATATTTACATGTATGAAAATAAATTACAAACTTGACACATATTGTGAAAAATATGTGGAAAAATATTTCCTTTGCATATTGGTAATGATGAAGAACCATGTGAGTTTTATCATACCTGCTTCTTGCTGAGTTTTCGAAGTTTTCCTAGTATAGATTCTTTGTCTGACATCATTTGGACATGTGTTAAGAATTTTACAATTATATTAAATTATATGATATAACATTACCATTTGCGACTGATTAGATTAAAAAATTTGTTTTATCCAGCTTTTACCAGGACAAAATTTTATATTTATCCAGGGCATCCTAAACTGTATCTGTTTGGAATTTGGCCCATCCAGTTGTTTTGTTAGCCCACCAGATAAGGTCGTCTTTTATATGGCCGATCTGGACTAAACCTGGAACCCATCATATCAATACTGATGGTTAGAAGTAGGGTTCTTCTGGCCCCCAGCTAACATGCCAGTCAACTGGTATATGGGCCAACATTGACTGTGTTCTCCTCCCCCTCCTGTAGCCCCTCTGCTTCTACTGAAAATGATCATCTTTCTTCTTTTGGCTGATAGTCAGAGGAGGAGCCAATGCAAGTAAGACTAGAAGAAGATGTTCCATATATAGACACATTCAAAAGGGCTCTGTGGAACTTGGTTAATTATTCATGAAGTTGAGCGGGTGTAGTAGTTAAGGTCAGTATGTTACTATTTCTGGCTCATCAACACATGAAAACACCACACTTATATGTGAGAGCATGCCAGGTGTCTGTTTTATTAATGGCCTATCAGTGAATTGATCCGTCTTTGTGTTCCTTGTGTCAGCCATGCACACGTTACAGTTGTGAAACATGCATGTACCAATGTAGTATGCTGTACCTAATCAGGGTGCATTAATTGAAAAAATATTCTAGAAGTCTTCTCAAGCTTCATGCATTTGGAAATACATGATTCCTCACTTGTTCCATGTTTCTCCATGTGTTACACTGGTGTGGTATGCTCTCCAGGGCTATAAAGAAGTGGCTCTCCAGAGAAAAGAACCCTCTCACCTTGTAACCTTCCTGTATGGCTTAAATTATGTATCTGCCAAGCAGGGAGTGAACAGGCTGGCATTTGTCCATGTACTAAGAGTTGAATCATCATGAAGCAAGTCTCTTGGTCTCAAGGTCCATGTAAAACCAGCATCTTTACGTCTGGTTTAGCAGCATTAAACTCACTGGGCAGAAAACCTTTGATCTATGAAGAATTAAGAGCATGGAGCTATCGATCGATATGTACGCCATACACTTGTCTTGATCCGTGATGCTGCCCCCAGCACTCTAAAGGGAGGGTCACAGCAGTCAGGCCTTTTTTACCTGCTTGTTGAATTTCAGCCATCATGCAGTGTTGATTTAGAGATTTGCTACTTTTCTTGTTGACTTTGATCAAAATGCCCTTTGCAATCCTGTCACTTTTTCAACACTTTAATTATTCAGAGCTCAAACAATAGAGGAATATTCCATGC